ATCCTAATTTTAAGTTATCTCAATTTGTCATCCTCCATTTTTTTCTAATAACTCTTTAGGACAAGAAAGAATTCTGGATCAATTATGTGGCCTTGGGCAAGTTACTCAATATTTCTGCCTCAGTTTCCTCATCTGAGTTTGTTTTATGAGCAATACAAGAGTGCAGAACACTTCAATTCATCCTTCATCCCTTGAGTTACTTGTTATTATTGTCACATATTTTAATTCTTTTCCTTAAAGATCTTTTAAAAAAATACCTACAATCTGAAAACATTGGGTTGGCCAAAAAGTTTGGGTGTTTCTGTAACATCTTATAGAAACACCCAAACGAACATTTTGGCCAACTCAATACTATTATTTATGCATATGGTGTTTGTTTGAATGGAATCATGGTTTCCTAATTTATCTGTCCATCATTTCTATTATACCTGACAAATTTTCCTCTGCTCTACTTTTTCTTTCTAGAATATATCCATCATACACTTCTTTAGTTAAGATCTGGTAGGTTGGTAAAGTTGTGACTTGCCTGAATATGTCTTTAATTAATTCTACTCTTTTGAAGCAGATTTGCCCAGTGCACAATTTTAGGTTGACTAGCATATTCTCTCAAAAATTTGAAGAAAACATTTTTCTGTCTTCTGACTCCATTTATATACAACAGCTTTGCTCTCAGACTGACTGAAGGGACTTTTCTCTGGCTAACTTCAAGATTTTTTTCATCTCTGACATTCTGTGGTTTCACTATTCTGTGTCTATGTTTAGATTGTTTTTTTCTTTGTCCTTTCCTCTTCAAATAGTTTGTTTCCTATCCTCTACTAAAACTATGATTATGTATATTAAACTTTCTAATTACTCCTCCTATGGCTCTCAGAATCTATTACATTTTCCAGCTTCTCATCTGAGCTTCATTCTGGATACTTTCTTCACATTCTCTGCCTTCCAATTTACTAATTCTTCAAAATTTTAATATGCTTTTATGCCATTTAACTTATCATATTTCCCTGATTATATTTCCAAAAGTCATTTAGTTTCCCTGCAATCCCTCATTTCTATCTTTTATTCCCTCGTGTTTTTCTTCAAACACCTGAGTATTTTTTTGTCACTTAAATAACTTAATATTAAAAAAAAAATATTTGCCTACACAGAGTCTCAGTTGCAGCATGTGGGATCTAGTTCTCTGACCAAGGATCAAACCTGGGCCCCCTGCATTGCGAGCATGGAATCTTAGACACTGGACCACTAGGTACATCCCACTCAACACTTTTAGAGATCTGTACAGTTGTTTTCTTGTTTTTTCTAACTTGTGTTGTTTCCTTGTACGTTTATAGAGATCTGGTTTGTAAGTTCCAACTGGTTTGAACTTTATATGTTGAAGCTGCATGGCTGTTAACTGCTGATACTGATACTGAAGTTGAAAATCCAATACTTTGGCCACCTGATGCAAAGTACTGACTTATTTGAAAAGACCCTGATGCTGGGAAAGATTGAAGGCGGGAGGAGGAGGGGAAGACAGAAGATGAGATGGCTGGATGGCATCACTGACTCAATGGACATAGTTTGAGTAAACTCTGGGAGTTGGCAATAAACAGGGAGGCCTGGCGTGCTGCAGTCCATGGGGTCGCGAAGAGTCGGACATGACCGAGTGCCTGAACTGAACTGAAGGGGTCCTTCTGAACTAGGGTCACTTGTTGTTGTTCACTCACTCAATCCTGTCTAACTCTTTGTGACCCCAAAGACTGCAGAACGCCAGGCTTCCCTGTCCTTCACCAACTCCTGGAACTTGCTCAAACTCATGTTGACTGAGTTGGTGATGCCATCCAGTCATTTCATCCTCTGTCATCCCCTTCTCCTTCTGCCTTTAATCCTTCCCAGCATCAGGGTCTTTTCCAATGAGTCAGCTCTTTGCATCAGGTGGCCAAAGTACTGGAGTTTCAGCTTCAGCATCAGTCCTTCCAATAAACATTCAAGGTTTATTTCCTTTAGGATCGACTGGATTGATCTCCTTGCTGTCCAAGGGACTCTCAACAGTCTTCTCCAACACCACAGATGAAAGCAAGAATTCTTCGGTGCTCAGCCTTCTTTATGGTCCAACTTTCACATTTAAACACAACTACTGGAAAAACCATAGCTTTGACATACGAACCTTTATCAGCCTAATAGTGTCTGCTTTATAATACACCTAAGTGCCCCTTTAAAAGTCTCAGGTTTAATGTGGAACGCTCAGATTCAGTTCTTCCACCTTGCTTTTCTGCATTTCTGAGTTCATCTGAATTTACCCTCAGTGCAATCTCTATTTAAGTATTTTCCCACACCGTCCTGTTTCTGACCCTCATGAAAGATAAATTCTAATCCTCAGGTCATGAATGATTTGTAAGATACAAAAGAATAATAAATATTTCTAAAGAGCAGAGAGGACCAGATTAATTTCTGGAAAACCAGATTGCCTTTTGTGATTTCTTTCAGCAATTCAATGCCAATAAAATGGTATTTTGTGGAGGAAGTGTCTTTGTATGCTCACCAGTAGAGATTTAAGAAAAGTGTTTGTCGCTCAGTCATGTTCAACACTTAGCGGCCCCATGGACTGTAGCCAGGGCCCTCTGTCCATGGAATCCTCCAGGCAAGAATACTGGAGTGGGTTGCCATGCCCTTCTCCAGGGGATCTTCCCAACTCAGGGATTGAACCCAGGTCTCCTGCATTGCAGGCAGATTGTTTAATAGCTGAGCCACCCAGGAAGAATAGTTTCAACAGTTACCAGTATGAACTAGGTGATCAAAGGGCAAAGTACTAAATTTTCTCTTCTAGATGGAAGAAACAGCAGAAGTCCTTCCTTAAGTTGTGCTGTTTGAAATAAAGCTTATAAAAAAAATAAAAAATAAAATTAAGCTTATATTCCAAGGTCACCTCTTAAAATATTAGTGGAATGTGAGTACTGGTTCTCTAACCCTCATAGAAACACTACCATTTCAGGACTTCTGCTTCTGGCTATAATGCAATAATTTGTAGTAAATCCATCTATTTGCTCTTTGAGAACAAATAGAAAAGCTGAATTAAAAATTAAAAAGTTATCACGGCAAGGCAACCAACTTGGAGAGATAGGTTTCCAAATAGAAGAGACCCTCAGAAGCATGAGCCAAAACCCTGCAAAATATTCTTCCATCCAGAGAATTATTTATTGACCACTGGCAGGGAACAAAAGGCTAAGAATCCAGGCAGACTGATGCAGCTATTAGGAAGGCAAGCCAACAGAGCTTTTAGTAACGTCATAAGGCTGATGACACAAATCCTGGAGTTTGGGGCTGCCATGGCAGCCAGGACTTGAATGTCTAGCAGCCCAGTGGGAAGAGGGCAGCTTTCCCCTTGAGCCATTTGGTGAATTCCTGAGCTGCGATAAAGGCAGGAGATTAAGAAGCTAAGCAGGGAGCTACTGAAAAATCTCAGCAAGGCTTTCTACAATGCTGAGAGATGAAAACGTGGAATGAGAACATTCCAAGAAGGAGTTGCTGTTACTGTTTAGTCGCTAAGTCACGTCTGACTCTTCTGCGACCCCATGGACTATAGCCCACTAGGGTGGGCTACCCATGGGATTTCTCAAGCAAGAATACTGGAGTAGGCTACCACTTCCTTCTCCAGAGGATCTTCCCAACCCAGGGATAGAACCTCTGTCTCCTGCATTGGCAGGCATATTCTCTACCACTGAACCAACAAGGAAGCCTCCAGGAAAGAAAGGTCAGAGGAAATATGCCAGACACTCAATAGGGATTTAAGGATGAGGCCAGTTTGGAGATCGAATCTGACAAACTATTTCAGTTTTGAGTTATCACAGATTCTGATTAAATAAGGTCACCTTCCCTGAAATTATTCTATAGATACATTCCTACCTGAAACTTCATTGATACCTAAACTCCTTGCCAAAGCTCCTGGGTTCCATCTGGCCTCTGTCTACGGATCTGCTTTCATCTCCCTCTCTGCATTCACAGCTCTCCCTTTCTGCTTGATGGCTTTGCCAGTCATCATTTAGAATCTTAAGTTGTTGAAACTTTCCATCCACATGTTGGATCTTATATCTCTTTAATTCTTTGAAAGTTTTCCCTCACTTTCTTATCATAGCCTTTAGCACACTACATATACACCAATAGCTTATACTCTGTATCTGTTTATACGCTCCACTTGAATGTAAGTGAGAATTCTGTGAAAGGAGAAATAGGGTCTGGCTTCATCACTGCCGTATTCCTCAAACTATTTCAGTGTCAGATAGTATCTCTGGACAGTGAACACTCCATACATATTTATTAAGTGACGCTTGAAGGAAAGAAAAAACTGATACTTAGAAGGACAGAGGGTACATTGACACCAACCTGAAAAACCCCATGCAGATCCTAGACGAGAAATCACATTAAGTTTCATTCTGTACCTGGTTTAAAAGAGAAGGAAAACCTCCCACCCATGTTACTCCTGGGTTTTTTTGGTTGCTGATATTTGAGGTTTTTCAAAGGGCTGTCAAAGGTACTGAATTGTATTTTCTCTGAATTTACATACCTCTTCTTTTTGTATTTTTATATTGGGAGTGTGTGCAGGTAAGTGACATGGAGCAAGAATTTCTTTGAAAAATTATAGTGTGTATAGTAAATGAAGCATTTCCTAGAACTTATAAATATCATACTTCTGGAAAATATTTTCTTAACAGACACTAAAAATAAAATTGAAATTTCATAAGTACTTCATTAGCTTTTATAGTAATAAGATAAAGCTTGCCTACTCAATAGTTACACTGATTTAATATTCATCCAGTAAGTTCAAGATGGGACATTTAGTGCAGCTATCTTAAAAGAATCTGCATCATCCTATAAAGTGGAAATTTCAGTAACTATTGGTTAGTGAGGGTTTTTGTTTTTAGAAGAGTCAAACCAAACACATCTGAGTGTTGCGACACTTAAAGCTTAGTTCATTCCATGATGGCACACACAGTGAGTGTCAGCTCTTTCCTCAGTAGGTTCTTTACCTGGTCGATTTTGCTTTTTAGCCTTTACATGGTTAGAGGCAGAAACAGCGTAGGATGAAGTGAAGGATCTGCTTTTGGTGAGAGTCATCATCACTGGGTTTTTCCAAGAATCTGGATTAATAGCACTGCAAAGACAAGGTATAAAGAAAAATGAAGAAACTATCCTTTGATTATTGGGGCAGACCTTACCAGAACCCAACCATTATTTCCATAATAGACATTCCAATCTGAGTCATGGTCCAGGTTCAGTGACAGAACCACTTGACTTCCAAGTGACAAACTAGGTTATCTGAATTCAGTCTGAGTTACAGGGTCAGAGGTCACACTCTTCAAGGATACCCGGTTAACCAAGACAAAAAGAGCTTTACTGTTCTTTCAATTACTTAGTATCCAACACCTTCTCATTCTATTTCTATAATCATGAAAATCATCCTCAAAGATCTTCTAAAAACATGGCAAACTAACTTTACGATGCAGGTGAACTTACATTAGGTATGAATGACATGATGCTTTCTTATATACTTTTTAATTTATTATTCTTGGTGTAACTAAATTAAGAAATTCAAGTACTTATCATTCGAAGACAGTATTCTTGCAGTATCTTGAAGGAAAAGGTTAATAACAGGTCTTTAACCAATCATTTATTTTACTGGTGATACCCTGTAAAGAATGGAATGATGAGACAAATTCCCTTGTAGATACCTAATGGACCTGCTACTAAAGGTAGCACTGATGCTATTTAGTAGGAGAAAGGTAATGGCAGTGAGTCTTCACTCGAGGGAATGCTTTTAGCAGGATATCCTTGCTCTGTCTAGGTATTATTGTAAATAAACCTGGAATCAATTTAAATAAATTTAAATAAATCATAAATCAATCTGGAAGGTTGGGATGGAGAACACCTCAAAAAATCTATGTAACTAATGGATATAAATTTTAGAGTTCTTTAACCAAAATTTATCTGTAGGCGCTGCTCAAAACCTTACATTCTGAATCTGAAACAGAATCTATTGAAATTTGAGAGAAAAAAATATTTGGGAAGCCATATAGACTGTCTTGGTTTGCTCCAAAGGAAAAGTGTATAGTCTACAGCCATAACACCCTGAACACGTCAGATCTTGTCTGATCTCAGAAGCTAAGCAGGGTAGGGCCTGGTTAGGACTTGGATGGGAGGAAAAGTGTCTGCTTTATGTTTTGGCTTGTGTTTTGCTAACATCGGTGTGTTTTCAAGCATTAGTAAATTTGGTAATGCACAAAATCTATAACTTGCATGAGTGTAATTGGACAATTTGATCCTTGGCCAATCTTAGATTGGCAGTGTAAGCAGGATGTACCTGGTCTCTCTGGGTGGCTTATTGTAAATAAAGCTGAAATGGATGGAATTATGGGGTTGTTAATGAGTAGAGATTGTCATGTAAGCTATATAGTTAATGAGGTATAATTTGGAGGAATTCTATAATCAAAATAGTCAAAGTTGTGGTTTTTCCAGTAGTCATGTATGGATGTGAGTGTTGGACCATAAAGAAAACTGAGCACCGAAGAATTAATGCTTTTGAACTGTGGTGCTGGAGAAGACTCTTGAGAGTCCCTTGGACTGCAAGGAGATCAAACCAGTCCATCCTAAAGGAAATCAGTCCTGAATATTCATTGGAAGGACTGATGATGAGGCTGAAGCTCCAATACTTTGGCCACCTGATGCAAAGAACTGACTACTTAGAAAAGACCCTGATGCTGGGAAAGATTGAAGGCAGAAGGAGAAGAGGACGACAGAGGATGAAATGAATGGCATCACTGACTCAATGGACATGAGTTTGAGCATGCTCTGGGAGCTGGTCATGGACAGGGAAGCCTGCTGTGTTGCAGTCCATGGGGTCACAAAGAGTCAGACACAATTAAGCTACTGAACTGAACTATAACCAAAATGGCATCCTTTGTGCAAGCACCATGATGTGCGTATTGCTTACAATTCTGCATATTAAGTCCAAACCAGAACACGTGCTAAGGTGAAATGACAGGACTTTTAGGGTATGCTGCACTACCAGTTTGAGATCTCTCAAAGGGGAAGATGCTGAGCATTTGTGTGGCTACTGCCTCTGTTCTTTGATTATTAGTAAATTTACTGATGGGAAAGGTCTATTACCTGTGTTCAGTCTTATGTGACAGTCTGCTACTAATTACCTCATTTCATCTCTTGTATTCTTTTCAGAGAGATTTTTTTTCAACTGTTGACCCAGGTATTTTAAAATTTCATCTTTTCTCTTTACTTTAAAAAGCATTTGAAAAGTGGAATGAGTTACAGCAATTATCAAATACAATTAAGGATAGCCTACAAGATAATATTTGTTTCATATCCTTCTTGGAAATCTCATTCTAGGCAATTCACAAATGTCTGGAATTCTTAAACAATAATATCAAAGAAAACTTTGAATCTGAGATAGATAACTATATCAACTATTTCCTGATACCACTATTCCCTGTCAACTACTTTTGCTGGATTGATTGATGTATGAGACTTACTGTGAAGACATTGTATGTAATGTTTATGTGGCCTACCTGTCTTCTCAGCATACTGTATAATAATCAGGTTGTGACTTTTCTATGCAGGCTTTTAAAAAGACCTTAACACTAACTGAATTTATTTTTTAATACTTTAAAGAGTTATATTATTAAAAGTGTATTAGTCACTCAGTTGCATCTGAGTCTCTGTGACCCCATAGATTATAGCCTGCCAGGCTCCTTTGTCCATGGAATTCTCTAGGCAAGAATACTGGAGTGGGTAGCCATTCCCTTCTCCAGGAGATCTTCCTGATCCAGGGACTGAACCCGGTTCTCCTGCATTCCAGGCAGATTTCTTTAGCATCTGAGCTACCAGGGAAGCCCTCTATATTATTAAAGCTAGCTCAAAACTGTCTGCTTCTATTTTATATTTCTTTAATAAAAACATTTAAGATAGGCTGACTTTGAGAAATTTCATAAAATGCAATAATGGAGCATCTTTAATGTGTGGGAAGTTAATGAACTTCAAGATTAATAAAATCCTAGCCATATATCCTTTCTTAATACAATAAATATTAATTTCTTATGAGATATTGTCAATAAAAATGACAAATCAATATATATGTGTGTATATGTGTATGTATGTCAATATATACACATACATATACACTTTATAAATTACAGGTACTTTCAAATGTATTCCTTTGTGTGTGTCTTCAGTAGTTTTCAGCTGTCTATTGGTCTTTGCCTTTGTGATTCCTATTTAGATCTTATTAATATGTAATGATTTGAATTCCAGTGAAAAAAATGGCTTAGGGGAACATTTACTTGGCCTTCCCACACTAACACAGCATGTAAAAACTATCTATGTGTTTGCTGTGGAAGACCTCAACCCTCTTCTACAAAAGTGGATTTTATCACCTTAGTTTTACTCATAAAAACTTCATCCTAGGTCCTAAAAGTCTTACCAGGTCCTAACAGTTTCTTTTACCGAGTTTACCGCCTGCTGTCATTTCCATGGCCAATGTGGAAGGCTTAGGTTATGATTCACTTCAGACTTAAAATTTCTCTCAAGCTTACTTTTTAAAAAAAATAAAGCACCTATTGGTATTCTTCCACTTAATTTTATTCCACTTGTCTCATCATTCCTGCTTTCCTGAAGAATTCCTTCTGGTGGGTACCAAGGCTCTGGCTATACATCTCTGAGTGGTGGGGTCAAGATTCTTCAGACTCTCAGTCCAGTGCCTTTTGACTCAGCTGGATTTAAAACCACCCAGGAGTAAATCGCCCAGCTATGTACCTAAAGGAACAGAAGTTGAGGACTGTTTCTACTTTTCACTTCCTACTCGTTCTTCTTTTGATCACTGCAGTCCTCAAAGAGCCTCAATAAAAAGACATTCAATTTCAGCCTCTAATCTCATTTAACTAAGAGAAGAGAGGAGTAGGAGAAATGAAATTTGATGAGAAGTAACAAATAATAACAAAAAGAAAGGAGACATTTAAGAAAGCTTGAATGGATTTTTGATAGAATCACTCTATGGATAGTAAATAAAGGATCATGAACTATACTATGACAGGAATCTTGGCAAGGTGCCCTGGTAAAATAGACAACCTCTCTAAAGATATATACCAAGAACATAAAATTCACATTTTTAAGCAACAAATACATAACTATAATTTCCTACTGCTTATCAGTATTTGCTGCTGTAAAAGTCAACAACAGTCAATATTTTCATGGGAAAATACTATTAGTGACCTATAATTTTGAACTTCAGGAAATGTTCATGAAACAGATTAACATTCTCCTATGGTGATGTTTCGAAGTTTCACAAACATCCAGGTGATAAGACAGAGTGGAATTATGTGAATTCATGTAAAGAAAGAATCATTCATGCTTGCTTCTGATTCTATAGGTTTATTAAACCATCAATAATATTTAACATGAAAGAAACCAATTATGTTTTTAAGTAAGAAAGCAAGAAAAGTTAGCAGTCATTAAAAATTCTTAGGATTTGAAAGGTTTCCATTTCTCTGCCAATTTCAGAATGGGGCTTTATACTCAAAGCCAAGGTCAAAAGAAAATAACTTCTAGTACTGTCATCATGTAGTTCAATACAGATGTGGTAATTTTTCAGTCATTAGATCATTAATAAAACTGATGTAAATGTTTCAAAAACCTGAAATCGCATATGGTAAATGTTCTCATAATTATTATTCACATAAAGTATGCTATTTCTATGCCAAATAGAAAAGGACAGACTCAGTAGTTTCTCTGAAAGAATTTCTCTCATGATGATGTAAAAACTCTTTCTAGATCTTAGTATTATTTTTTCCTTAGCTTTGGTAATTCTGATTTTTCAACCACTTTGTAAAATTAGAATTAATATTCTAAGTAATTATATTCTATTTATTTTTATTGAGGTACGATCAAAATATAACATGATATTTGTTTTAGGCACCTAACATAATGATTTGATATTTGTATATACTGTGAAAGGATCACCACAATGTGCTGTATGCTCCATTGCTCAGTTACATCTGACTCTGTGACCCCATGGAATGTAGCTCACCAGGCTCCTCTGTTCATGGGGATTCTCCAGGCAAGAATGCTGAAATGGGTTTCCATTTCCTCCTCCAGGGATCTTCCCAAACCAGGGATTGAACCCAGGTCTCCTGCATTGCAGGTGGATTCTTCACCACCAGGGAAGCCCAAGAATACTGGAGTGGATAGCCTATCCCTTCTCCAGGGGAACGTCTCAACTTAGGAATTGAATTGGGGTCTCTGCATTGCAGGCGGATTCTTTACCAGCTGAGTTATCTGGGAAGCCCAATACATCTAGTTAATATCCATCTGGTGGCTTAGATGGTAAAGAATCCACATGCAATGCAGGAGACCTGTGTTGGGAAGATTCCCCTGGAGAAGGGAATGGCTACCTGCTCAAGTATTCTGGTCTGCAGAATGCCATGGACAGTCCATGGGGTCTCAACACACATATTTGTAAATTTTTTTTTCTTCTGATGAAGACTTTTAACACCTATTCTCTTAGAAACTTTCAAATATATAATACAGTATCATTAACTATAGTCACCATGCTGTACATTCCCATAGCTTACTTATTTTATAACAACAAGTTTTGATCCCTTTCACTCATTTCGGTTACCCTTGACCTCTGCATCTAACAACCACCGATCTGTTCACTGTCTAAATAAAGTTTAAGTTAAAAACTGTTTGAACATATTTAGTTGCTCTCAGAATGATCTACCTTTGATCTGATTTTCTGCCCTTCAAATAATGCCAGGAGAGCTGGTCTGGTGAACTGGGGGAAATCTAACAATCATTTGCAAATGTTAGGCTGGATACCTTTGATGTAAAAATCCAACACAGATCTCAGTCCAGGTAAAATCTAGTCTGTCTTTATTCTGGGTTCAACTCTACCCATCCAAATTTACAGTAGCAGACATCACTTCAAGTCACTGTCCCCATTTGTACTTAAGGCCATACAACACCACTTAAGCATAATTATCTGATATCAATCCTTATACTGCTCTGGATTTAAACCAAACACTTTTTTCATTTTCAAAGCGGGCCTCAAACCACTATATAATCTGTAGGGCCTCCCTTCCCCTGTAATTTTTTTTGCCATATATTATAAATCTTTATTACTGATCATTTTTCGTAATTATCATTTTGGATGCTACTATATTTTACTTTATATGTATATATATATATATATATTTTTAACTTTTCATTTTGTACTGCGGTACAGCCAGTTAACAATGTTGTAATAGTTTAGGTGCACAGCAAAGGAACTCAGCCATGCATATACTCGTATCCACTCTTGCCCACGCTCCCTTCCCATTCAGGCTGCCACATTACACTGAGCAGAGTTTCTTGTGCATGCAGTAGGACCCTGTGAGTTATCCATCTTAAGCACAGCAGTGTGCACCAGTCCATCTGAAACTCCCTAACTGTCCCTTCCTTCCATCCTTCCCTGCCCCCTGGAAACCATAAGTTCATTTTCTAACTCTATAAGTCTATTTCTGTTTTATAATCCCCTGTAAATTTATAATTAATTTTTGATAAGGAACTTCTCCTAGAAACATGACCCCAGTAGGAACATCACCTAACCTGGATGAAGGTGCTTCATGCAGCTTGATGCTGGCACTTCGGTCCCTCCGGACCGGGGCAGGCTCCAAAGTGGGCAGGCCTGTGGCAGAAGTGGTGGTGGTCCAAGTTGATGAAACTCGTCTCAGTAAACCGGGGGGCAAACTCCTCCTCAGGCGCTGGGAAAAAGGAACATTGATTTTATTACCAAGCATATTTCCTATCACTAACTTCTATGTAATATAATGAAAGAAAATGAGTTTTTAATTAGCAATGAATATATTAAACTATATTGGTTGAATATCATATCTCTAAAATTTGGGCACTCAGAAATTCAATAAGGAACTCTGGCCAAAATCAATGAATATTATAAAAATAACATTTTGGAACCTTCATTTCAATGATTATATAAAAATGGGATTATGGGAAATGAGAGTCATTTACTTTTGGGGCTAATTTTATTGTCATATTCATCCAACAGGGCTTATATACCTATAAATATTAATATATAACTTATTATGAGCTGCATTTCTATTAACTAGCACAACTGTTGTTATACCAAAGTGTTTACTGATTTAATTGATTTAATCCTTGATTTAGAAATGACGGGACCTAAGGGTAAGAATGTAACTCACAAGATGTACCACTTCTCATGGTTAATATGACTTAAGACAGACAGGCATTTGGGTAATGTCATCAGGACGAACATCTTTTTTTTTTGAAAGGAAAGTATAATTTCTACATACAACCGATAAGCCTGATACAGAAGAGGCGACTGGGACAGACCAGGAGTGGGTGTGAAGAGATGGGGAAAGGTGCAGCAAGAAAGTGAAGGAGAGCAAAGAGGAGGTGGGGGTGCTTCATCAGGCAAACCACCATTTCCCCCAGCCCCTTCCAGGGAGGAGAATGCGCCCAAGTCTCCCCAGCCTGCCCTCCACTCTTTTTCTCTTCTGGTCCCAAAGGAAAAGGAATCTGCTGACTAGGTCTCCTCCTTGACCAGCTCAAGTTTAGTCCATAACCAGGTCTTTGGGACGGAGGGCCGAAGTTCTCCAGGAACCTGAGTCCCTGGAACTGGGGGTTCCCCTCCACGTCTGGTGCACTGTGAGGATGAACGCCTCTTAACAGAAGACTCTGCTAGTCGACCTGTGATTCTCTTCTTTGTCATTTCTTCTCCTACCTTAGCCTAAGTGGGATTCGTGACACCCTCAGCACTCAGACATGATTCCGAGTTCACCAGCATGAACAATGACCCTCCAAAGAGAGTCTTAACCTTAAAAATGAAAGGGAAGGTAATCTAATACAAATACAGCAATCATGATGAGGTAGGAGCTCATTATTTTGTGACTGGTGACTCTGAGAAGAACAATTGTGCAAGCAGAGTTTAACAAAGAGTCTGCTCTTCCTGAAGACAGTAAAAGCTTTGGGAATTAAGTATATGGCACCTTGGGATTCAAGGAGAACTCTGATATTAAATAGTTTCCAAAACCTCTTAAAGATATATACCTTAGGAGGGAATTCAACAGGAAGAGAAAATGTCAAGCTATGTAAATATCAGGATTCTTGTCTGTAAATCTGTCACTGACTCTGTGCCTATTTTGAGACCCAAGGGAATCAGTTTCTCTTTCTACATCCATTTACTTTCATATCATGCTTAGCCCTATCTTTCTCAGAGAAGTAGATGTTCCAAGGAAACTTAAAAACACCTAATTGACAAAGTTATCTGAAGGACACAGTCCTGAGTCCAGAGACCCACAATGGCAAGAACATAGATGTTACTGACTGACCATGAGCTCCAGGGCACAGCTGCTTATTTACCAAATAAAGAACTGTGCTGGATATACCTGAGAACACTGAAATTCTGATTATCTTCCTTGTTTTTTTTTTGGTCCTTAACATGACTTGTTTTCAACTAACACTGAACTCTAAACTAGAGGTAGAACCTACTCCCTACAGCTCACTTTTGTAAAACTCTCATATCTTATATGTAAAAAGAAGAAAATACATGAATCACTAAGGCCAACTTCTACTTTAAATAATAGAAAATCAAATAAATTCTTCTAAGTTAAAAACGTGTTGGGTTTGGGAAAGACCTGAGGGTACCGTGAAGGCTACCATACTAAAAAAATCAAAGAGGAAAGGAATCTCACATTTTAGAAGGCAGTGAATTTTTAACAGAATCCACAGAAGTGGGAGCAGGGGGTTTTGCCTGCTTTTATTTCCCACTGCTATTATTGTTATCCCACAGACTAAGGCCTGATATATAGAGAAGAAAAAATCTGACACATGAATAAAAAAAGTTAATGTAAATCTTTTTGTTTACAGAAAGCTATCACGTATAAAGATGGAAGTCTTCATATTTACTTTTTTATTACTTTGGTCACCATGATTGACAAACACTTCTTAGGGGAAGGAAAGTGAAAGCATTAGTCATCGAGTTGTGTCTAGCTCTTTGCAACCCCATGTACTTAGCCCACCAGGCTCCTCTGTCCAAGGAATTTTCCAGGCAAGAATACTGGAGCGGGTTGCCATTCCCTTCTGCAGGGGAACTTTCTGACCCAGGGATTGAACCCAGGTCTCCCACACTGCAGGCAGATTCTTTACCATCAGGTAAGACTTCTTGGTGGGGAGGGGCTCACTGATATGAACCCCTGGGTGGGCCTGGAGTGATAAGAAAAAGGTCTAGGAGAAACAGTTTCACCCTTCCAAGGGCATGTCATTAACACCTACCTTGGGAATAGCCAGCTTGTCTCTTTCAGAGCTTTCTTCAGAATCAGAGCAGGTGTAGTTTTCACTGAAGGACACAATGGGGTTCACCCTGGGCTTGTGAATGGCCTGGATGGTGAGTTGCGTGCTGAGGAGGTTGCTCACTGCCCTCAATGACGTGCACACGTTGGGGGGCAGAGACGGGTCTGCCAGGAGGTCAGTGATGAGGCCGTGAGCCTCTCCCATCACGGCAATATCCACAGTGATGCTGGTTCCTGAAGACTGAGACATCAAACACAGGAGATTGGCTGAGAAAGGCCTGAGGCTGGAGGCACAGGAGGGGAAGCTGGGCTTTTTTGAAAAAGTGAACCAAAGCGACGCTAGGCTGATAGTAAAGTAACATTCAGATCACATTTCTGTTTCAAATTTTACCCAAATTTGCCATATCTTTTTGCTATTTTTGTGTTCATAGCACATTTTTTACTGCTAGACTCTGTAGGCTTTGGAGACAAAAAGATAAGCATTTTTTTTTTTAAATAAAAAGCTTCAGGAAACAAAAAAAAAGTATTCATATCAATCACTCCTTATAAAGATTTCAACATTTTAATGTACTTCATATAGTAAGTGTCCATCAATAGATGAATTGAAAAGATGTGATAAGATATATATACACACATATACTCACATATATATATATATATATATATATACATACATATATATAATATATATGGTTGGCCAAATAGTTTGAGTTTTTCATATAATCTTATGAATTTTATATAGACACATACACACAAATGTGCATATATAAATATATGCCAGGCTTCTCTGTCCATGGAATTCTCAAGGCAAGAATACTAGGGTGGGTAGCCATTCCCTTCTCCAGGGGATCTTCCCTAGGGCCCAGAGGTTGAAACCTGGTCTCCCACATTGCAGGAAGATTCTTTACTCTCTGAGCTACCAGGGAAGCTCAGACACACACATATATTTATTTACGTACATATTATGTATAATATACTTATGTGTATTATATATATATAATGGAATACTACTCAGTCACAAAATGTTTCATTCTGAAAAGCAACATCAGTATAGCATAAAATTTTAATTTTAGTAATATTCTCATATGATATTTGAGCCTGGTGTGTGGTAATTATTCAGTTAATATTAGAAACACAAAAAAGCACCTCATTGTGCTGTTCAGATTCACAAACTGTCCCTCTTCTTATTGTCAGGAAGAATAGAAATTTCTGTTCCGGAATTCTGTGGCACATCTGTCATATTCTGCCAAACTGTCCCTCAGATTCAGAGTTATTACTCTATCCTTGCTAAAGGAATGAAGGACATAAAACACAGAGGACAGGGATGTTCTTACAACCTGCTGGTCAGGCAGTAATGTAGACAGGAAGATGGGGAGCAAGGGAGAGCATAGGCACGGTCAAGGTTCAGAAAGTAGATGAAGCTGAAGGATGGCGAACAGACGACTCTTAACACTGGAATGGTGCCACAGTATGCGGCACAAGGAGGCCGGAATACTGGTGGGGGTTGCTGTTCCATTCTCCAGGGGATCTTCCCAACACAGGGATTGAACCCAGGTATCCTGCATTGTGGGCAGATTCTTTACCAGCTGAGCCACCAGCGACCCATGAGGAAGCCACCTAACTTTAAATTGTGACGCATGTGTAGGTTTTGGAACTAGGCTGTTAGCTCCAAATTCTGGCTCCTGACCCTATGACTTCCTATCATATGACTTCTGGCACATTCGTGAGCTCTCTGCACTGTGGCTTCTCCAACTGTAAAATGGATATAGTAGGGTGCCAACCTCAGAAGGTTATTTTAATGATAAGAATTAAAGGGCAGGGACTTCCCTGGTGGTTCAGTGACTGAGAGTCCGCCTTCTAATGCAGAGGATGTGGGTTTGATCCCTGGTTGGGTAACTAGGATCCCACACGCCGCCGAGGAACTGAACCTAGGTATTGCAACTCCTGAGACAGTGCTACTACTAAAGAGAAGCCCGCAAACCACAAAGAAACATTCTACTTGCTGCAATGAAGATTCCAGGTGCTGCAGCTAAGACTCAATGAAGCCAAAAATAAAAAATTAAATTAAAAGAGGACTTAAAAGGTAGATCATATACAAGGCACTTACTATTGTGCTGGTTATAAATGTCCAATAATGATAATGATATAAATAATAGTAGTAATAATTCTGGAGTTTTTCAGTAAGAGGTTATTAGAAGTTCGACTAGATAGTTGGGAGAAAGTAAACTTTAATCATTCTGACAACAGACTTAAAAATGAACTCCAGAGATATGAAAAATTTAAATGTATAAGATTATCAGATTATTAAAAGGAAATATGGGGGACTATGTTATAATCTTGGGATTAGGGAGACTGCTAAAATAATATAAATGGCATAAACTGTCAAGAAAACATCTAACAGATCTGATGAAACACAAAAACTTCTCATAAGAAAATATGCTAAAAGCAAAGGTATAAAACAGTCCATGAAAGAATATCTGCTACCCAGCGAAGATAAAACATATGTGAATAAAAGGCCTCTAAAAAAAATAAAAGTCAATAGAGAATTCCCTGTTGGTTTCACTACTGAGGACCTAGGTTCAATCCCTGGTAGGGAACTAAGATCCCACAAGGTGTACAACAGGACTACATATATATATATATATATATACACATGTGTATATATATGTGTATATATATATATATATATAAATCAATAAAAGATAAACTGGGAGAAAGGGAACGAATATACAATTAAAATAGAATTTAACCATCAAATACAAAAAAAGCTACTTGCCTCATGAATGCTTAAGGTACAAATTAATGCAATAAAAGCAATGTTTACTTATTAAATAAAAAACAGTAAAAGATTACTAGCACCAAGTATCAGTAACGGGTTGAAGAAATGAGCAGTAAGTAAAAACAATACAACATTTTTGGCAAGAAGTTTTTGCTGAACCTATCAATTTATAGTTTAAATGTACATATTCTATAATCTAGAAAGACAATATAGACATCTAAAGAAAAACTACATTTACACAAAAATATAAAGACATGATCACAAAGGGTACTGCAATGTTCTGATTACAATCAAAGAGTATGGCCATAAGTGCATATCAACAGAGACATTGTTAAAAAATGCTGCAATATAAACATAAAATATGTACTTTAAAAAAATATTTGGGTAGATCTGTAAATATTTATTTGGAAAAATATTTATAAAACATTGTTCTGTGGGGAAAATGTATGTCACAGAAAAAGTGAACATGCATTTTTTTGTAATCAGAAAAATATGATAATTATGAAAATACCCAGCATCTATGAAAGGAACTAGTCTTATAGCAATAGCAAGGATAAATTATTCTGTAAAGCTATCGTATAGAAACTATGTCTTTTCATACTAGAATAATGAGTAGCGATAGTAATACTGGTGGATAATAATGGTGACAGCTGATATTTATTCAGCACAAGTCTACAAGGTAAGTATTATTATTTTTTTATTTTTATTAGTCAAAAATCACTTGCCAAATAACTGACTCAAAAATAACTCAGAATCAGATAGCTGGAGCATGAAAACGTCAGGCTGCAAACACATACTCTATTTCCACAGCCCAAGAGCTGAGCTAGCAGGACGAAATACCGAACGTTTTCATTGTACGTTACTAAATATATCTATAATTATTTAATGCTTTATTTAATCATTGTGCCATGTTTTTCTCTCTCTGTAGGTTTAAATATCTTCCATGAACTGACATGAAAATTTTAGTGTAACATTAATAGCTTTAGGATATATGATTAAGTTTATTTCACATATTTACTTACATTGTTAACTTAAAAACGTTTGTGAGACATGCCATGGAATAAGTTTAACATTCCCTTTCAGAAATGTATTCTCAAATGCATCTCTATTTATTATGCTTCTGAAACACTCATCGGTATGATCTTCTTAAACAGTAATATACATTTCTTTCCATGTTGTTCTAATAAACTTAATCTACTACTTAATCACTGTACTGTTACCCTAGAAAATTGAAAGTTTAAATCAAATTTTGTATTCGGGACATAAAATTTTAAGATGTTTGACAATAAAATTAACAGTTTATATTCTAATGGCTAATAATTTAACACATTTCCTCAAAATGGTCTCAATGCATAAAAACTTACAAATCTGAAGAAAAATCAGAATATATTCACTGAAAATTATTAATACATTTTAAAATAAATTATTGGTGAGAAAACAAGTCTATCTTATAATTCTCTAATTTTATGTCTTTTTGAAACACTTTTTAAAAAGTAATGGATGAATTTCTTATATATATACTCAGAAAAAAACAAATGACTGAAAAATTGAAAAGTAACTTTAAAATAAAAACAGAACTGAAAACTCATCCTTACAAGCAAATGTCAGTATTACATAAGAATTTAGAAAACAAGTACATTATGTAATTCAATGCTACAATACTGTTGCTTTCGTGAAAGCAAAGGTCTTCAAGTGAAAACAAAAGCAATATTCAGGCTAATAAAAGGCAAATTATCCAAAGTGGAATTGGCTAAGAAACCAGACACTTTTACTATTGAAAAAGTCTCCCTACTATTATAAACTCAGGACTTTTCTTTTAGTTTTATGATTTTAAAATTATACAACAGTTAAAAGTTTATCACACATAAGAAGTTATCATCAGGTTTTGGCTCAAATAACAAGAGGCTTCAATGAGGCATGAAATCTAAACCTAACCATCACATTCGTTTGTCACAAACTCGCCAAGACTAACCACACATGAACTGCTGAAACACAGGAAGATACATGGGCTGCTATTTCAATAAACAGAAGGCAAACTCTGCAGAGCCATGCACATTCAGGGAATCATTTTAAAGAAATTTCAGGGGAGCGGGGCTTTGCCTGATTGGTAGTGTTTTTTTTCAAACAAAAACACAAAATATGAAACATCACGCAGTGACTCATACAGCGGCTATTTCCACCCCTATTCAATTTTCAAAATAAAATAATTCAATTTTTAAGTATACCAAATAATGCTCAGTAAAATTTTCATTTAACTGGTGAAATCTTAGATCGTGATAATAAACACTAAAGGTTAAGTTTATATTAAAGCTACTTTAAAGGAAAGTCTTAAGCTAACAGCCTGAAATCATCTTTGAGTGCAATAAATAACCCTACTGAGCATAAAACCACAGTTGAGTCTTTTTACGGTGCACATGATCAAACGAATCTTTTCGTAAAAAGAGTGACCAAGCAATAAAAAA